AAATCTTTGTTTAGAATAACCTCATTTGGTTTGCACATGTGTTTCATAAAACTGGAGGTTTCTTTTTTTCTTATGGGTTGGAAATGATTTGCATGTGGGGTTGTATGACGAAATTCATACTAATAAGTGCTTAGAGATCCTTATGTTCCTAAACCGACATCATTGATTTCAGACAAGAAAGCAGCGGCGAAGATAGAAATTTTATTATCGGGGTCAAAATTTAGAATTAATCACGTCAAAATGTGCAATTTAGCAACGAACATGTCTCCCCCTATATCTCTCTATCACAAAAAAGGAAACATGGATGCATCAAAAGCATACAAGTATCTCATGATTAATTGAGCAAAAGCATTTGATTCCCCTCTCTCTCTTTCCAACTGGTCAATTAAAAAGAAATGAGAGATTCCTTGCTCATTGTAAACGTACTAATAATAACTCGATCGCAGTTTCCAATTAATTCATTAGATATGAACCTTGATTAATTATCTTTTAATATACTTGGCTAGCAGTAGTAATTAAGCCATGATTAGTGAAATAATTAACCAATATATCTTTTATCATTAGATTCTTCATGTGTATTCACTGTCTTTGTCCCCTCATGTTGCTTGCTTTCGTTTTTGGTCCAAGAAAGAAAATAGATTCTTCATGCTTGTGGGGTAATGATTTCATTTTCATGCTAGGACACAATGCCAGATCTGAGTACCTAGATATTGAACAATAGTACTATATGTATATATATGGAGCAAATTATCAAGATTTTCTTGTTAGTATGTTATAGATGCTTCCAACTGATGAATTAATTATAAGTAATAACCTAAAAATAATAATATCAGAGCATACAATTATGACAAATAATGTAACCAAAACAAAATATCATCAAATATTATAAACTAATTATTAGGATTTTGGAGGTTTATACTTTGTATAAGCCAACTATGGTGATCATATATTATGGGGTATGCATAACAGTTTGTAACTTTATGATTGGTGTTCCAATTTAAAGACATGAAGAAACTGTTACATGTCCCAAACCATAAGGCCCTGTTTGGTTCACGGAACATATTTGAGGAGAAATCACTTCCCATATCATTTCCTAAGGGATGAGAAATGGAAGATTTCTTTCCCATGTTTGGTAATGCCGGGAAAGTAACTGGAAGATTTCACTTTATTTCCTTTCCCTTGTTTGTTTTGAGTAGGAATGGAAAACAAAGTTTGTATAATTTTCCAATTATATCATATTAAATCAAATAAAAAAAGAGTGCATTTAATGATATATTGTAATTCTAAATTGTTAATGGAGACAAAATGGTCATAAAAAATGTGCATTGAATGTTGGTTCATTTTCCCAAACTTTTCCATGAGAAGGGAAAACAAAACCCAAGTTGGGAGGAGGGCTTCATTTTTCCCCCTGCTTTCCCATGTGCTTGTCAACCATTTCCCATGCCCAAACTTATCAAATATGGGAAAACAATTGATTTCCTATCCCCAAGTCTCCTTTTTCATGAACTAAATTGGGCCTAAGGGTACAAATTGTGCATATCATGCATAATTTTGTGATGGATATCTAGAAAAGGGAGTCAACGAGGTCTAACTTAGTGGAAAAGGGCATTGACTTGCATAGAAGAGGTGTCAGGTTCGAATCTCCATGTCATCTTAGTTGTGTGTGTGAGAAATTATTCATCCCCTTTAGTTAGACTATCGCTTGTACTAAAAAAAGAAAAGGGGAGAACAATATGTAAATATCATATGCATGTATGTTTTTTCTTTCTCGTGAGGTTCGATTTTATGCTTCATTAATTAAAATACTTGGAAACTTTGAATGGAGATTAGTTAATGAAAGATTAAGTTACTTTGTGCTAGCTAGCTTGATATACATTGTTGACTGTTTCTCTAATTAACCACGGGCTTATAAGTGATTGTTTAATATGATAGGAGTTTTAGTTTCAAGGAGTCATGCTATGTAACTTTTAAATCTCATCCCTCACAAGCAGATGTATAACCCATTTTCTTAGCAACTTAAGTTTTTCGGCTTCAATTGTTGCATAACATTTGGACAAGTAATATAAAAATGTTTATCCATTTAACCGTGATCAAATAAATCACAATATGTTTAATAAACAATCAAAAGTACCTAATCACAATGATAATCAAATGACGACCTTTCAATTTGTTTAATATTTAATAGGAATGATTCTTGAAAATTGACCTACAATATATAAAATGAATTATTTGGATTATAAGATCGCATTGTACGAGTATTTAGCATCATATTAACTTATTAACTAATAATTAGTGTTTGACCGACCGCGTGCAAACAATAAACAATAAAATAAAATGCAAGAAAAATTACCGTTTCAAAGAGGGTGTCAAGAGTAATATCTCAGTATTAGTAAAAAAACCAATCATCTTCAACTTACGGTGAGTGCAAAGGACAATTATTTGAGTGATTGTAAAGACCAAATAAATCTGGTACGTTAATCACATGTCTTTAATTCTGACTGATTGTATGTGTAAAGAGCAATTATTTGGTACTACTAGAATTTACCTGTCTCTAATTGCGATGACAAACCAACCATAAAAAACACGATGGTTACTGTCAGTACCAAGTAATACAGGAGCCTCAGCTTCCATGACTTTTTTTCTTCATGAAAATTCCACAAATCAAACTCCAATCATCTTTTTAATCAAAAAGGTTTGTCATCAACTATGCACTGTCATTATCATTTTGAGCAACACCCTTATTGCTTACTGTAGCACAGAGAGAGAGAGAGAGAGAGAGAGAGAGAGAGAGAGAGAGAGAGAGAGAGAGAGAGAGAGAGAGAGAGAGAGAGAGAGAGAGAGAGAGAGAGGATTTAGAGAGGATTTTGGTGTCCTTATTTTTGTCTCATGCTGCAGTGTTTAGCTACCTCCTAATTATTATTATTGTTTATACAAGATGAAATAGGAGCTCAATGATTAGATACTTGTGGGTCTTTTTAGCATTAGCGCTTGCCAGTGTGGTTATGCAAAGAAGATTTAACATGTGGGGACCTATAAACAATTTTTCTGTCTCTCTCTTGAATTTTAGTCCAATGGGCAAATTAAGTGTGGCAAATGAAGGGAGGGAAGACAAGATGGAAGAAGATAATGATGGTGAGATCACTCACCACTAATGCACATTGGAGCAATGGGGCCCTTAAGTTTTTGCTATTAAATTAATTCAATTATAAAAACAATTCTATATTTACATATATTCACATTTGTTAAACCTACCAATTTATTTAGTTTCATGATATTGTCACCTAGCTTTGGGTACCTACATTGGTGTCTACATTCTCTAGAATCCCCCTTAATTAATTTCATTATCTTAATCTTATATAATTAAGAAAATGTGAAATAGGTTAACCCTTGTAATTAGGTGAAATAGTTATAGCACGTACATGAGTACTATCTCAAAATTGGATTGTATCACTTGAGCTATATATGGGTTTTTCCACCACCAATGGAATCTTGAAGTGTTCACATGGTTTAACTATTTAGGCTTGAGTTTAGCTCAACAAATATTTGTTCTTTAGTGGCATTATATAAATTGAAGAGAAATAGAGTGGCCCTCACCCTCTTCAAGTTGACACTTGAACTTTACAACCCCCTTGAGTGATCAATTTCTTCTAATAATTTTATAAGATTAACTCTTACTGTGGGTAATGATTTAATGCTTTATCACTGACTCTACCAACCCATCACAATCTTCTATACATAAAATTCCAAACTTTTCACTGAAGTTAATCTTTTGACATTGGAACATTAGGCGACTCTTTAAGCTTAGCTTAAAAAGGGGTAGTTTCTACATTTGTATTTGGGTACCTTGTGGCTGATGGTCTTGATGCTCACAGGCGGAATCAAGTTAAAGGTTACCATGTACTCTAGCCCGAGTAGCCTTTTTTTAAAATTAAAATATAATAAATATATTTTAATGTGATTTTAGATTAATTTGCTTGCTCAATTAAGAAATAATCCCTTAGTAAACACTCATGACTTTAACTCTCTACCTTTTTTTATTTTTTCCTATTGTTTTCTTAATTTGTTTTCATCAATATTCATTTTAACGACACCCTTTTCAATTAGGTAGTCCAAAGGGTGGGCGTGGTGCGATTCATATGAAGAATGAGTTTATAGCAGTTTCTATTATTGTCTACATTGAAAAAGTATTTGCCGACAATATCGATTCATACACAATAACAAAAGATCTCAATTATCTCAAGGATCATACGGTACAACTTGAATGTGTAGAATTTCAATTTTGTTGTTGAACATATTTTCATTTTGATACTATGTGTGTTTTTGGGTGCATTTCACAGGTATTTATTTTATGTTAAATTTTATTGGAAATTAGTCAATTTGAGCTATGAACTAGCGTGGTTTATATGCTTTAATATATATTTTATTTCTAAAAAAAACTATAAAGTACAAGAAAAATTATCATTAGATTTTAAGCCAAGAACTTTAGTTAGCCCACCCGTTGAAAAATTCACAGTTCCGCCCTTGTTGATGCCTAAGTTATGAATACAATTATTGCTTATTCTCAAAAAAGAAAAAGAAAAAGAAGGGGGTAGTTTCTAATTAGCTAAGGAAATAGGTGCCACAGTGTTCCTAATGCATAATGGCATAAAGCAGAACAGTTTCCCTAAATTTTCAAAAGATGATAAAGGAAAAGGATTTGTAAAGACATAATTAGTACATGATGTAATTCATCCTCCCAGTATCTTTCCAACAAGATAGAGAAATTGAAAGAAAGAAAAAGAAAAAGAAAGAAGGGCATAATGTAAACCTTAGAAGGTGGGGGTAGCTTTTTAAAAGCATTTTAACATTAAATTTCCATAAATCTGTGAAGTATCTAAATCTATCAAGATGACTAGCTTTATGGTCAACTTCTCTGAACCCCATGAAAGTTGCAAACCTCTTGGTAAAGAAAACTTGGACTAGAGAGTAAATGTTTCTTCAATCATGCAATAAGAAACTAATGACTGTTTATTCTGCTCATATAGTCCATTGCAGTAAAGATTATGCCCTTTTCTCTTTTCTCAGGGCCAATCATAATAAAAGAAACAAATGGTCACACTTCTTCTTCTTCTTCTTCTTTTCTTTTTCCTATTTTTTTTTAATCTCAAATCTCTGCAGCTGCAGGTCCAAAACTGAACAAAACCCATTTCCAATATGCAAATGTTAATTCTTCTGAATTGGTCTGGTGTCTATTTTTGGACCATGCAGTGACCAAATGTGATGAACTTTGAAACTTAATTATTTCTGTTTGATAAAAAAAGAAAAAGAAAAAGTAGATACATAGTCTCTCACTCTCTACACTAGGCACTAGCTAATACTCCCACAAGAAGGGATCCTCTAGCCTGAATCCAGTGTCAGCTGCACACAAATGCCATGTTGAAGAAGAAGAATAGCAAAACTGATCACTTCCATTTGTGCCATCCATGAAAAGATCTGGAAGGTCAAACAATTTGTCATCATCATAATCAGTTGAAGCACAAGTACTAGTTGATTCTTGAGCATTAATGTTGTCCATGGACAAAGTGGAATTTGAGGACATGGGAAGCTTGACTTTGCTGCTGGGCTCTGCTTCTTCAGCCTCTGCTTCACATATAATCTGCTTTTCCTCAGAAGCATCAGCTGCAGCTGCTGCAGCCTTAGCAGCAGCAGCTTGAATGTCCTTTGGAGACTTGGAGTCTGGTTGGGGAAATGTTTGAGCCAATTCAGGGAAATTTAGAAAAGCAGAAGCACCTTTGATGGCTAGAGCTGCCACATCATGAGCTCTAGCTGCCATTTCAGCTGTTGGGTATGTTCCTAGCCATATTCTAGATTTCTTCCTTGGCTCTCGGATTTCGGACACCCATCTTCCCCAGCTACGCATTCTTACGCCGCGGTATGTCGGGTGCTTGCCATCACTCTGATCACTGCTTCTCTGCCTCTTCTTCTTCATGCTGTTGTCTTGCTCATTCTCATTGTTTGGTTCTTCTTGCCCTTTTATTGATGAGCCTTTTTTAGATGTACAATTCTCTGAGTTTTGAGTGTTTTTATCAGCCAAAGAATCAGAAGTTGTTGTTGTTGTTGAGGAGGAGGAGGAGGAGGAGGAGGAGGATGAGGTAAGGAGGTTTTCTTGAGCATCACTCTCTATGTTGATTTGCTTAGCCATGATAGGGGGGGGAGGGGGGCCTAGCTCCAAAGTTAGAGAAAGAATGTGAGTGGTGCATAAAAACAGAGGTCTTGTGTTGGGCTTTTATGATTCTCTAGAAAAACAAGAAGCATTTAAATAAGAAGAAAAAAGGAAAAGAAAAAAAAGAGAATATATATAAAGAAGGCATGGTGTCCAATCGCATAAGAGAAACTACAGTTCAGCTATTTTGTTCCCCATGTGGGAATAGAGTAGTGTGTGCTTTGAGACCATCTTTTGCATCCATTTGCTATTCTTTGCTCTTCTTTGCTTTTCTTTATTTTTGTTTTTGTTTATCCCATCTGCTTTATTTCCTCTCTCTCTCTCTCTCTATTCCTCTCTCTCTCTAAGCTTTTCCATCTGCCCCTTGCTTGGTCTCTCTTTTGCCCTTTTTCTCTTTTTTCATGGTAATATATATGTTTGTTTACTGGTTACAAAACCATTTTCCATTTTTCTTGTTTCATGTGAACATTTAGTATTCCTCCAACAAACCAGTTCAAATATTGGTAGGCCATAAGGTTTGCCATGCCATGAATTTCACATAAAACTTTTCAGGGCCCTCACCACCAGACTCTCAATAATCTCACCATAGATTTTGCTTGGTCCACTGATTTGAATTGAAACCACCTTCTTTATATTTTATGAGGGTTGGGGTGTTCATGTTAACATAGCAGTTAGCACAGTACATATATATCAATCTCCCCAAAATAAAAAACTCAAATTCGAGCTCAAGTAGATAAGATAGCATTTACACCTGCATCCGAGGTTCTAGGTTTGATTCTTCTCACTTTCAATATCTCTTGTGAAAAAAAAAAAAGAGGAGAAAAACTTATATTTGAGTATTCTAAGCTTGTTCATATGCCACCTTCAACTTGGTCCAATTATGTCTCCAAATTGCTCTGACCTCTGTTACAATCTTGTCACCAACTTCTGCAGAATATATATTTATACATACATATATAAATATATATATATATATGTGTTTTTTAAACATAATAATGAAATAACTTAAATCAATTGACCAATTCATATGGCTACTGTAATAGAATCTTTGGCAGAAGACAGCATTAGATAATGGTGAAGTGTCAAAGTACCATCAAGTATAGCCATGGAAATATCTCATGTGGGTTTTGGATTTCAGGGAAGAAGACAATGGATGCAGCCCATATACACATGAATATTCAATACTAAGCAACTGCCACCTCATACATATCTTCCCTACAAGAAATTCTACTAATTAATCACTGTCTAAATAAATATATAAAATCAGTATCTTGTATTTGCTATCAACATATCTGCTGTGATGATCTGAGCCGTTGATCTGCATAACCATTGATCATAGTGGAGCACATGCCCTGTGGGACCAGTGACAGATTTTCCAGCAAATTGGTTCACTCTGCAAGCAAAATGTTCGCAACTCCTTTTCATATTCCTCAAAAATATTTATTTTTCTCATGGTTAACTTTTAATTCGAATTTTGTATTGGAGATTCAAGCTTATCATGTTACTTTGACATTTTATTATGAAATCCTTAAACATATATGAGAACACTTGGCTCTGAAGGATTAGTGGTTAAAATTGTTATATTAATTGCAGGGACCATGATTAATTTTTCAGTATTTTGTTGTGCTTGACAGCTTTAAGAGAGTAATTTAGCTCTAATTTTTTGGGTTTTTGTTTGTCGTTTAATCACCAATCATATATAATGCCTTGAAAATTTCATCAAAATATTATAATTGTTTTTGGCAGTTCAACATATCCCAATTATATATTTATATATATATTTTTTAATATGGGAAACAAATAAAACCAAAAATCCCAAGAAGGTGTCTTAGGTGGGTCTTTACCATCATATTAATAAAACTTTCCTCCTTCATGTAATTTCTCTTCATATTCAAACTGTGTTCAGACATTCGGTCAACTGACAGGGAGAGGGAGTGGGCTTTGAGTCTTTAACCAACTCATGCTTTTCATGGAGGAGAAAAACTTACCTATATCGTATCGGAATGTTATTGTAACGAAATTTTAAATTAATCACGCATTATTATGTGATAATGTGTGATTGACTTGCATGGAAGTTATTATTCTTGTAAAGAGCATTGACACTTCTTGAGAGGTTTTTAAGTCATCGTCAGCAATAATGCATCCTAGAGGAACCCATCCAGCTTGAACCACAAAAAAACTTGGGACACTAGACATGTGAATGTCACTATTATCATAATGGATGTTGAATTGAGAGGTAATAGGGAAAATTTGGACCCTGGTCCCCGGCACGTAGCCCGAAATATGTATATGTAACAAAGTTATGAGAGAAATAAATTGTTTGTTTAGGGACTTGTCCCAATAATTGTAATTGATGTCACACAGGTGCATGGACCGCATGTCATTATTTGATTCAATTCACTAGTTGTCCCATGTACAGAGAACCTTCAAACTTTCCCTTTTTTAGCTCAAGTCCCAAACTTCTATGCCCCATAAAGTGACTTCAGCTCATTTCTTAGAGCACTTCCATTGCAAAGGGGGAGGGCAGGCAAAATAGGGCCCCAGGCCCCGAAAACCCCTCCTGCGCGCAAGATTCAACCTGGGCAAGGGGTGGGATCCATCAATCCAGGCAAGCCCACGGGCAAGAATCGCCTGGGCTGTGGCCCGAAGGCTGCTGACGTCAGACGTGACGTCAGCGGTAAAAAAAATTTGAATAAGAAGGCTGCTGACGTCAGACGTGACGTCAGCGGTAAAAAAAAATTTGAATTCAACCGCTGACAGAAACCAACGAGAAGAAGCCATGTGACGCTTCCTAGATGCTCCGATCATGGATATCTGAGAAATCCAATAGGAAAAAATTCGAATTTTTTTAAAAAAAATACCAAAAAATTCTGAAATTTTTTCATATAAATACCTACCAATATAATTCACTTTCCACAACAAATCTTCATACAAATTCTTCTCCTTCAAATATTTTCACTTTCCACACCAAATATTTTTCTCCTTGGGGATTTTTTAAAAAATACCAAAAAATTATGAATTTTTTTTTTTCTATAAATACCTACCAATATTATTCACTTTCCAAAACAAATTTTCATACAAATTCTTCTCCTTCAAATATTTTTCACTTTCCACACCAAATATTTTTCTCATTCACTAAATTCCATTTGTGTCAAAAAATAAATGGCATCTTCCATTGAAGTCGGAGGCACGTGGACAACCGTTGAAGATATTTTGTTGTGTGAGTGTTGGGTCAAAGTTGGTCATTGCCTGATCACTGGCAATGAGATGAATTTATCTCATATGTGGAAAAAAATTCATGAAGAATTTTGTGAAAGATCGGGTTCGACTTGGACCGAAATGGCATTGGCTAGTAGGTGGAAAATTTTGAATAAAGAGTTAGGGAAATGGAGAGATGCGTTGGCAAAAGCAAGGGAAATGGTTTGAAGCTGTGAAAATCTTGGCGACGAGGTAACAAATTTCTAATTGCCGTTTTATTCAATTTAATGTCATATTTTATTTATTTATATTTTCTTGGATTCCCAATTTTAATTTTTAAATAGATTCTTCAAGCACAAATGTGGTTTTGTGCCATTGGCCAAGGTAATAAAAGATTCAAAAATCACCAATGTTGGGACGTTGTGAAGAATTGTTCAGAATTCACTACACGTGGTTCATTCAATTGTGTGAAGAAAACCATTACACATGGCTCCTCAAGTGAACAATGCCAGCAATCAGTTCCCGTAGTGCGTTCTGTTGAGGAAATAATGGCAGGATTACGTCATTCGAAGGAAAATACTCTGCCATGTCGTGATTTGGTGGAACTGCCTCCACCAATGATTGAGCCGTCTTTGTACTCGATTGTGTTGGACTATGAGGACCGGGAGTATTTAAATTGTATGATGAGTGAGTAGGATGAGAATTTTGTAATAAATAGTGACACATGGCAACCGAAAATCTTATCAAAATTAATCGTTTAAGTATAAAAAATAGAAAATAAATTAAAGTGAATAGTAATTGCCCTTGCCCATAGGGGTGGAAACAAAAAAGGCAAGGGCTGTCACTATTCATATGAATAGTGACAGACCTTGCCTTTTGCCTTGACCTTGCCCTTTGGGGTGGAAGTGCTCTTACTATGAAAAAGAAGTGCCCTTTGGGATTTAATTCTTGTCCCATCCACTCAAAATGAAGGAGTTGTCACAAATTCTAGAGAATTGACACTCACAAAGGGCACTGCCAATAATGCAATCTAGTGAACCCCAACATTTTCATCCAAAATGTTACCAAAAAACCTGGTGAACTCCAAATCGTTCTAGTGGTGTAAACCAAATACAATAAATAGTTTTATACCACAAGTAACTTTTGCCTTGTTTTTGAAGTTTCATGCTCTATTTGGTAATGCCCTTTTATTGGTGAGTGACTTGAGAAGCTTGGTAAAGTGATGGCTGGGATGTAAAGATAAGCACAAATGAACAGTATCAACTTGACTTGAAGTTGGTAAAGATCAAGTTGACTTCTTTCTCTCTCTCTCTCTCTCTCTCTCTCTCTGATAAATTTATAGTGTTTTGAATACCAAATTGGTTGTGTGTTGGCAAAGATCAAGAATCCAATAGCTAGTGTTCATGTCCCTTTTTCTTTTTCTCTTAAGTTCATAGCAATTGGAGTTGAGAAGTTTTAGCAGCTGTTCTAAAAACTTTCGTGATATTCTCAACAAGAATGAAAAAATAAGCTTAAGGGATAGGCAGAATAAGTCAAGGAAAACATTAAAGAACAATATGCATGCCACTCGCAAAATGCGTTCTCATTTATTTACTTCAGGGTGAAATTCTAAGAGATCAAGGTGAAATACAAAATGTGGCTGGAGTAAGCATAGGGTTTATTATTATTATTTTAAAAAATAAAAAATGTGGAATCAAATTGCTAGAGTAGCCGTGGAGAAGATCAGCAATTCCTAAACAGAAACAAAACAGACATAAAAACGCTTACCAAGCTAAGCTTTTCAAATTACTACATATTTATGATATTGGATATGGCTGGCCAGGCCCTGTGACAAATGACATTGTCCCAATCTTGAACAACTTTGGGGATTTTAAGCCCGTACAAAAGAATCTGCAACATGAGCAATAAAATGGAGACGCATCTGTTGAACCTCTGAAGCTAAAGAGGGAAAAACATGAGCAAAATGAGAAGAGGGATAAGCCAATGCTTCATGAATAAAATCTCTAACCGGAGTTTTAAGATTGGAGATCATGCAAGAAGAAATACCAAGCCGAACTGAAA